GCTGCCGTCCAGACCGGAGCGGCGCGGAGCTGCGAGGGCCGAACGACGCTGCTTGCAGCTTTAATTAGGCCCGAGCAGCGAAAGCGCTGCGAAGGCCTCTTGTTTTTGCTCCGTTTATTATTATTTTTTTTATTTATTATTCCGGTGCCGCTTTGAATGGCTTTTTGGGGATCTTAACATACCCCAAAACTCACAATATTTTGCACACTTGTCAGGCCTGGTGAAAAATTTGATATTTTAAAGGTCCCAAAAAAATCGCAAATAAAATGGCTGAACAGCGCCCCCTAGAAAATGAAAAAAAAACCCTCTCCATAAAGCTTAGTTTATCGTACCGTTATGAAATTTGGTACACTTATAGTACTCAATAGTCCGCACAGAAAAGTCTCTTGCAAGCATGGTCAATATCAAACAGGAAGTCGGCCATTTTGGGTTGAAATGGCGATTTTTTGCAGTTTTGGCCGTTTTTAGGGTCCGTTTCTGATTAGATTGCTCGATCATTTTTTGCACGATCATCTCAAAAATTGTGTAAAATTGCTCAGAAGAGATGGGCGAACAAAATGAGACAATAAAATTGACTTTTCGTAAATACTGAAGGGGCGGGGCCAGGCCTCGAAGTTTGACTACTCGCCAAAATTTTTTAAATTGCTATAACTTCATAACTGAATGGAATAGAGTTACCAAACTTTCTGTGGTCATTCGTCATCACCTCACAAAGTAAATTGAATGGTCGCATGATGACATCACACAAGCCCCGCCCCCTCAGGACCAAAAAGGTTAAGTTTTACTGTGAAAGGTCCCAAATTGCCCCATTTCACTAAATCACCACAAATTTGTAGCTGGTAACTCAAGACAAGTGGGGGTTGCTTGGCGTCACATTATGTGAGTTTTCGGCAGAGGGCGGGGCTGTGGCGGCGCGGCGAAGTCAGGCGTACCGCCGTGGCCTTACGTTTGCCTCCCATTTCGTCATTTCTAAAGATATCATCACGAAACTTCTTGTGAGTGATCCTAGTCTGGCCCCCCAAAAGATCTGATGTGAAATTCTGGTGGGCGTGGTCTATTTTCTGAAATAGCGCCCTCTAGGACCATTAAAACTGACAGCCCCAAGCCATGCTTTGACTGAGGATTACGAAATTTGGTACACTAATGTGGTGTCTCAGGACCTACAAAAAAGTCTCTTGGAGCCAAGTGCAATGTCGCACAGGAAGTCGGCCATTTTGGTCCAAGTGCGCGATTTAGTGGTTTTCGCACACGTTGTTTGGAGAGTGATGCTCCGTCGCGCTTTTCACCAATCGCCTTCACACTTCTGCTATATACTCTTAAGAAATAGATGAAAAAATTCAACCGTCGGATTTTAAATAAGTATAAAGGTGTGGGCGTGGCTAAGCCTCAAACTTTGACCTGTCGCCACGCCACTCTTTTTTTCACAGCTCCCTATTGGACTCCTTTTAACCAATCACCACCAAACAGTGGCAAATAGCAGCAGACAATTTGAGGTCACTTGGTCTATAGTACTGGCAGGTTTCGAATAAAGGCGGGGCTTTGGGAGCATGGCAAAATTCGCCATCACGACATGGAAATACGTTTGTCTCTCATTTCTTCAGTCATTGTGACATCGCCACACAAGTTCTGATGAGTGATCCTACTCTGACCCCTAATAGAATTGGACAGCTGAAGTTTGTGGGCGTGGCCTATTTTCTTAAACAGCGCCCCCTAGGACCATTAAAACAGTCAGCCCCAAGCCATGCTTTGACTGAGGTTCATAAAATTTGGCACACTAATGTAGTGTATCAGGACCTACAAAAACGTCTCTGGGAGCCAAGCGCAATGTCGCACAGGAGGTCGGCCATTTTGGTCCAAGTACTCAATTTAGTGGTTTTCGCACACGTTATTAGGAGAATGATATCTCCTCGCCCTTTCCACCGATCACCTTCAAACTTCTGCTATATACTCTTAAGACATAGAGGAAAAAATTCAACCGTCAGATTTTAAATAAGTATAAAGGTGTGGGCGTGGCTAAGCCTCAAACTTTGACCAGTCGCCATTATGTTACTTGACTCAATAACTCCCTTGTGCATGATCAGATCAATTTCAAACTTTGTCTGTGTGATCACTGACCACATCTGAAGACAGTGACAATGTGGACAGCTGGCATCACCTAAGCCCCGCCCCCTGACTACAGGAAGTCTACTGTTTTATGGTGAAATGCCCATATTTATCCCCTCTAATTTTGTCAACATGACACTAAGGTCATGCACTGTCTTCATGATGTTGTAATGACCATTCAGATCTGATAGCTTTTCAGAAAGGGAGGGGCTTTGATGCCATGGCGATTTCTGGCGTGACGCTGTGACCTTACGTTTGACTGTAACTTCCACAAACAGCCTCCGATTTGCCCGAGACTGAACATCACATCACCAGTGTGGTAAAGATAGAGTATCTCCTAGTGGTGAGACGTGTAATGCTGGGCTCAGAGGGGATGCTGAATCAGGGTGAGGTGTGGACGAGGAGGCCGTTCGCGGTTTCTGGTGTCGGGGTGCTTGACTTTCTCTTCTGCCAGACGTGCCCTGGTGCCCCCGGCTGCTGGCCAGGATGGACAAGCGCGGAGCTGGGTTTGGAGAGCGTCGGGGATGGAGCGGAGGGGGTGCGGAAGGAGGGCGAGCAGCTTCGCTGCGAGGGCCGAACGACGCTGCTTGCAGCTTTAATTAAAATTATATTTAAAATGAATTTTAAAAATAAAGGAGAAATAAGAATGAATGAGAGGCATAATAGCTAAATGAATGACATGAGCCATTTTTTAAATAAATATTAATTAATATATGAATAAAATCCTTTTTTAAAGGCGCAAAGGATATTATTCAGAAGATGCAGTTTGTCCTGGTCCCAGCCACAGCAGAGGATGAGCCACCACCAGCCAAAAAGCAAAGCACAGAACGATTCGCAGACTGGGAAGATGACGCGTCATTTGCATCAGCGCCAAAGTCAGTCGATGATGAAATTTCTGAATATCTCACCTGCCGGCTCTCTGACAACCCAGACCCAAACAACGTGCTTCAATGGTGGAAGTTCAACAAAGAGCGCTTCCAAGCGCTCTCAAAGCTGGCGCGTTTCATTTTCAGTATCCCTGCATCCAGTGCGCCTTCAGAGCGCGCATTCAGTGTCTGTGGGTGCATCTTGGAAGAGAGACGCACAGGATTGGGACCGCAGTTGGTCAGCCACATTCTCTTCCTTCACAGCAATATTCCAACCAAGTGATTAATCAGTAAATTAAATTTTTTGGTTTTTATAAGTTATCTTTGTTATCTATTAGTGTTATTTGAGCCACTCAATCTGTTGCTATTTGTTAATTAGGTGCCTGTGTTACTGTGCGGCATGCCTAAGTTTGAACGTTTTTATTTTATTTTTTCAAACAGAACACATGCAACATATGGCAAAAAACTTTAAATCTGCTGTTTTTCATGTTTATACGGTACTTGTTTTGCAAAGCGGTCTATTTTATGTACAATGTGATTGTGTTAATTTTTTATACACGTATAAAAACGAAGTTATTAAAAGTCACTGCGCTGTGTTGTCTATATGTCGATTGTGTCAATATTTCTCATTCAGGTCTCTTAGAAAAGAGGCCTCGATCACTGCGTGATTACAGAGGAGAATAGAATATGAAACGGCCTTGATTTTCCTTTAAGCACCACACAGTTGCTCCTTTATTTATTTATTTTTTTAAAGAATTTTATAATTGAAGTAGTGAGGAGTTATTTGAAATCGCATGCGCCGAGGTGTCACCGGTGATCCTGGTGACACCTCGGCGTTAAATGGTTAATCCTGACCAAGACATGCAGGCCTGAGAAACGAAACAAGGATTCATGTGGTTTCCGTATCCAATAAAATGACATGTTTTCTCCAGAACCAGAGAGGACACAAACTCAATACATCTCTTTTATTGTGAGGTAATAATTTCTCCGGGTTTTGCGGTTGCGGACGGGAGTGGACATGCACACTGCGGGCGCAGGCGGGAGTGTAACATACACTTTGCGGTTGCGGGCGGGAGTGGACATGCACACTGCGGGTGCGGGCGGGAGTGTAACACACACATTGCGGTTGCGGGCGGTAATGGTCAGAAATTCAGCGGGAGCGGGCAGGAGCGGGATGAAGAAAACAGTCCCGCGTAGGGCTCTAGTCCAGGGTATGGGGAGGACACTGGGTACCCTCTTTTATGTCATTTCAGGGTTACAGACTGTTGGTTGAACAACTTGAAGCCCCCTTCAGACAGGCCATGAAAAACGGAAATGTTCAGGACTCTGTCCGTAAGACCTTTGTGTCTGAATACAAACATCCGGATAACGTTTTCCGTAATTAAACCGGACGATGCCCCTAGTAACAGGTCCGGACTTGTTACGGACAAGGTGGCTGCTTCAGACTGGTGAGGTCGAGTTCCGGACAGGGAGGAGGGGGAGGAGGAGGGGATCGGGGGACGCTGTGCGCTCATAGATAGCTCGATCCTGTAGCATGCGGCAAACCATGGCAGCTCGCCTCCTACGGTACCGTCTAGACGAGCGACGGAGCGCATCACACTGCTTCCGTGATTCCTTTAACCATTGAGCGCCATCATCCAGGTCTTATGCGTCTTCGTGTGCGCAGAATTATGCTTAACATAAGTCCGATCCCCCCAGACATCTGGAACTTTTCCCTGCTGTGTGAAGGCAGCCGAAAGGACAAGTTCCAGTACAAAAGTGGTGTGTCTGAAGACACAGTTCTGGTTAAAAACCGGACTGAATTGTCCACACATATTCCGGAATGTCAATCTGAAAAGGGCTCGAGAGAGCAGACAAGGCCGTGAGAGCTTAAACATGAAGGCATTCTGCTGCTGACGGGACAACTGGTCATTAACAGTGATCAATAGAGAAAACATTTTGTATAGTACCCTCTTCTACAGCTAGTACATCTAACAATCTAAAAAAGGCAGGACGGCAGAATGAATACGTCATGGTTTTAGTAAAACGTACCTCGACCTTTCGTCGGTGTTGTGGTGTAGCAGACACTTCCATGTGATGGCAAAACCATGATAGAAGCTAATCTATGTGAGGAGAAGAGGCTGTTGTTCTTTGAGGGAGTTCATCAGGTCAAGATTCAAGCAAACACCAGATAGCCTGTACAGGCTCCTGCTCACCTCTGAGGAAAGCCTGGCTCCATGAGAGGTTCCATGTCTGCGGCCATCCTGCAGCCCCCGACGGGTTCCCCTCTCAAACCCGTCCCGAAAGCCCTCACCTCGGAACCTGTAACCGACACACTACAATCCAGTCGTGTCCAGAAAATGACTAGTGTTGGTGTTGTAAGGCTATCCCCAACCCTGGTCCTCGGGGCCCACTATCCAGCATGTCTTCCATGTCTCTACTTCAGCACACCTGATTTGCGTATATGCATCGCCTCCTCAGGAGGACATCAAGTGCTGCAGATACCTGTTAATCACTCATTCATTTGTCAGGCAGGTAGCAGCAAGGGAACACTGGTGTTTTAAAGAGCAAGTTGGATTTGGGCCAATAAATTATGTTAATTTGTCAGGTTCGGTCACACAGCGACATTTGCACACTCAAAAAGCGCGAGTGTCTCTGCTCACACTACAGAGAGGAGCGGAGGACGCACCTCTAAACATGCGTTATTATTTCTCCTCGAAGCGCTTCAAAAACTCAGCTTCAGTCTGGCTCAATCAGACTGAGTGGTGTGATGTCGGGAGATCTGGTGTTGGGAGGGGGTGAGTGACAGCGGCTGCAGCATCTAATCACCCGTTTCTTCTCTTTAGGGATGCAGAGAAGTTAATACAAGAGAGTGTCAAAGAGAAATAGAAAATAAAAGTTCTTGTTACACTTTATTATTTTGTTTCATGATGATAAATTAGATTCAATTTGAAGGAAAACTGGGAGGAAGTTCAGGTTTATTTTAAGTTAAATGAGATCTTGTTTCCTTTCTCCTCCTCCGGCGACACGATGGACACGAGGAAATAATAAAAGTCCCAAAGGGCAAGTTTGTAGTTAGCTAGTTAGTGAAGGATCTTCCAAAAGGGTTAAAACGAAGGCAACTGGACTTCTTTGGTGTCTTGAAGTTGTTTTGCTTCTCATCTGAGGAGCTTTGTCAACTCTAAACTGGAAAATGGGAGAGTCAAGTTTATAAGCTGTAGCTGTCTGTTGATATTTAACGAGCAGAAACTACTCTGAGTACTAGGGCCCGACCGATATGCTTTTTTTGGGACCAATACTGATATAAAACTTTTAACAAAGGCCGATAGCCAATATAATGGCCAATATATCTCCCTCAAAAAAAAAGAAAGAAAAAATATCTTAAACCTTTCATTCTCTGCCTTTTTGATGCAAACTTATTCATATTACACACCAAAGAACTGTCTCAATAACTCACGAGGGTTTCCAAGTAATGCAAATAAGATTTATTTAGCGGATCTCAACAACAACAGAACACACAAACTCAGTCACAGCATAAATCTAACATTCAAGTTTTTCTTGTAAACTGTGGTCTCCACAAATACATTTTAACTTAAAGGAATATTCCACCACTCAGTAAAATTGTGTCTTGTTAAGATTCCCCAGAGTTAGACAAGTCAGAAAAAGCATTTTATAACCAGCCCAATATGATCTGGCAGCAGTTGGTTTTCTTAGTTTAGCATAAAACAATGAATTCACATAGATTATAGTGTTTTTTATGTAGGCAAACAGGATAAACATATCCTTGACTGTTATAGCTAATGTGTTGTTGATATAATTTATCTATAGCGATAACAATGTTGACAACTCTGTTCTTCCTTCACAACCCACGTTCCACTCACTCGCCAGCTCTCTGGGCCCCTTGTTTTATTTTACCTTTTTCCAAATGTACTGACACTCTGTGTTCTGTTATTTTATTAAATCTTGTGTAAAAAATAAATGTTTTTCTTTCTCAATTACTGGAATTTCTTTGTAGAAGACAAAAATGGAGAATCATCTACAGTGGGGCAAAAAGTATTTAGTCAGCCAACGATTGTGCAAGTTCTCCCACTTAAAACGATGACAGAGGTCAGTAATTTTCATCATAGGTACACTTCAACTGCGAGAGACAGAATGTGAAAAAAATCCATGAATTCACATGGCAGGATTTTTAAAGAATTTATTTGTAAATCAGGGTGGAAAATAAGTATTTGGTCACTTCAAACAAGGAAAATCTCTGGCTCTCACAGACCTGTAACGTCTTCTTTAAGAAGCTTTTCTGTCCTCCACTCGTTACCTATATTAATGGCACCTGTTTGAACTCATTATCTGTATAAAAGACGCCGCTGCGAACCAGAAACTGGTTGATCACACCGGGGCCAGACTAATAACATGTGGCTTTACAACCACAATGTCCTCAGAAGCGAAAACGCATTTAAAAGGGAGGAACTGTTGCTGCAGGCGTGTTGTGCGAGTGCAGTTATATACTGGTTAATATATTTTTGAGTTCAGTTGCTTTCATGTGGCCTAATGTGAGTCTATTTGGGATCATTGGAATGATCAGCAGCATTTCTTGATGTGACTTTATGGCAGTTGCCCAGGGCATCATCGCAAGGAGGATGGCATTCATTTACTTTTGTTTTATTTGGTATTTTTTCAGTCATTTTTGGAAATAGTGATTAATTTTGATTAATTCACAGCCTATGTTTAATTACATTTAAAAATTAGTTGTTTGACGTCCCCAATATTAATAAATGTCTACAGATGAGATCAAACAAAACAGATGAGAATTGCCCTTAAAGAGCAAGTCACCCCCAAACAAACTTTTTTTTGCTAATAAACTAAATAAACGAGTGTCTAATCGTGCTGCAGACACGTGTAGTCAATAATTTGGCACTTCAGTGCATCTTAGTTAAAATTTAAATATTCTGCCTAAAACTGGCAGTGTTGTGCCGTTGTCAGGTAAAAACTCTGCACTGTATTTTAATTTAAATCTGCCACCGCTATTGGCTAAGAAGTATGCTCTGATGTGTATTTAGGCAACAGCATGTGTTGCATTTTTCAAACATGAAGTGGGAGTGGAGTTAGACTCTGGTAGGGGTTGACTTGCTCTTTAAGCTGTTTAACTTGGACCAAGCATTTTAGGTCACAGATAGGTGTAGCTTAGGGTCTCTGTCTATACACCTTATAAGACAATTTAGGTGATGACATGTTGTTTTTCTGCTATTGAACTGTTTTCTAATAATGTTGTGTTTAATAAAGTGGAGAGAAATAACGTTTCCATAGCAGTTTTTAAAAATGTCCCTATGTAATCCGATTAATCGATTAATCGTGTCGGACCCCATCCGATTCATCGATTATCCAAATAATCGTTTGTTGCAGCCCTAGCTGGGACCACAGTAAAAAAGGTCACCATCAGTAATGGCAGGGAATCAAATCCTGCAGTGCCAGACGTGTTCCGCTGCTGAAGCCAGTGCATGTCCAGGCCCATCTGAAGTTTGCCAGAGAGCACATTGATGATACAGCAGAGGATTGGGAGAATGTAATGTGATCAGATGAAACCAAAGTAGAACTTTTTGGTATAAAATCAACTCGTCGTGATTGGAGGAAGAAGAATACTGAGTTGCAAGATAGGATAGTTGCAGTTGGGGATAAAAACTGAATAAACAAAACAATCAATGATCAGCAAGAGTCTGCTTCTAGACCTGCAGAAAACAGACACACAACAATACAACAGGAGCAAGCTATCACTGCGTCAACCTGATGAGGATGTTTAAAGTCAACATTGTTTTACTGAACAATCACACGATAATAAATCACAGTGCATTTAGTGCCAACCACAGCCTTAAGACATGTGTTGCAAATGCCCAAGTCCATACTTATGAGAGCACATGTAAGCACCTGTGTGTGTACATGTGCTGCATATGCAAGGTCTCTCTATAGGAGCGTCCAATAGAGAGTATGAGGGGCAACAGATCTGCGCCCCCCCCCCCCCCCCCCCCCCCCCCCCAAAGATGTGTAGGAGATGGAGGGAGCTCCAAGTCCCAGAGATCCAGGAGCTTTCCCAGAGCACAGGGGCCCCAAGGAGACTGCAATCAGAAAAGCCCCTGCCCCCATTGAGAGGTGCAGAGGATTGTCCCCGGGGGGCCACAACCAGCAGCCAGCAGAGTCCTGGGAGACATCAGCGGCAAGCCCACAGTCCCGCCCGCAGCCTCCCACCATCTAGCCGGCCGAGCCCAGGACCCAGAGGCGACCACCCCCGCCGAGGACCCAGCAGAGCCCAGGGACCCAGATCCCACCAGGCAGCTACCGGGATTGATCAGGCAGATGCCAAAAATCTTAAACCCTCTGACCCGGGAGCCACGAACACTCAGGCAGACCAAGGCACTGCACTCCACACCAGGTGTGGCAGGGGGAGGGGAGGCGAAGATGTATAGCATCAAAAGGAGTCCCAGGAGAAGAGAGGAGTCAAAGGCCCCACCTGACATATAAAGTCATATACAGACACAGTCACACACTCCCTCCCTCATGCTCACACATACACATACAACCAAAGACTTACAAAAATGCATGCCGGACACCCACTCATGGTCCCCATACACACCCTATTCACTCTGGTCCCGGTACTGCTGCACATTGGGTACAACCATCACCGGTTACCAGAGTTTGACCCTTTCTGCTGGGGTGCTGATGAGCAGGCTCCCCCGCCCAATGCTGAGCAAAGCAACCCACCACCTCAGACCCCAACCAGACGGCCAGATCTCCCTCCTAGCCTCCAGCCCCGGGAAGCCAAGCGAAAACAGAGGTGTGCTAAGACCCCTAGTCTCCCTCCACCTGCTCCAATATAGTGTTAGTGCATGTTGATGAGGTGTATTCCAAGGCTGTGGTGAGCGGGCAGTGTGGGCATCGTCTGGCCTACGCCAGCTGATGCCACCACCCCACCCCACTTGCACCCACAGCTCTCAGTGTCTAAGTGCAGTTTAAAATTGAAAGTGGGTCACTGGCACTCGGGATGAGGCTGAAAAATCCCCCTGCCAAATGCCGTTGAATGTGCTCACTCCCAATGCCCTAAGTGTGTGTTTGTGTGGATTAAGTTGGTGAAGTGTTTAAGGTACAAATAAAATTGGGGAGCAGGTTGCCGCAGGAATGCGTAAATGGGGTCCATACCCGCACCCCCTGACTTGTCCACCCCCCAAGGTCCTATGTGCATGTTTGTGTGATGATGCAGGAGGAGAAAAATGTGTGGGGATGGGGAGGAGTGGCTGGTTGGACAAAAGCCCTCCAGGGAGCCAACTCCCCCACTG